CTTAAAGTACCACTTTCTAGCATGTAATTTGTAACATCATTATTAAAATATACTAACTTTTGATTTTTGTCTGCTGTATTTGAACTTTGTATCGCGGTGTACCTAGCATTAATTTATCATATTGTATAATTGTAACATACGCTCTTTCGTAGCTACTCAACAGTTTGTTTGTTTTTTTCTCACATAATAATATTATTATTATTATTATTAGTATTATTAGGTATTATATGATAGTGACTGTGTGTTTTGTCTCTCTCTGCATTATAGGGAAGCGATTTGTATGCCAGTCACAGGTGTTACTGCAGCAGCCAAAACTGAACAGAATAGGCAGAATATTTATAAAACACACACATCAGGATTACCAAACCCAGCCTGGTATAACTGGTTTAATTCTGCAAAATGTCACACAGCAGGCCATGCAATGCAATAATCCACACAGTGATCTGCATGCTGGCATCGTGGTTTATCAGCTAAGTCCAAACAACAAACTAAATACAAGTTGTGTCCAGTTGTAGGAGTCCATCTCGGTGCACACCTGCAGTGAATAAAGAAATTAGAAGAACACGCAAGATTGGCCTTAATGCATCTAATGCACTCAATTCATTTTTTCTCATTTTGCAGCAGTGTAGCCCTAGATTGTACCAATAAAAAAATATAAAAATCCCACTGGTAATACAAAATACCTCAAAGGTATTTTGCAACTTATATAACCGGCTCATTTATGTCAAATTAAATTCATCATAAAATTTTACATTTTGAAAAACCAAAAGGTAAAACAGTTACAAAAATCTACATACTGTCTAACTTGCAATACTACATTTATTTGCTAAGTTTTAGTACTAGATCTTCATCAGGCAAAGGAGGATATCAAAAAGAAAGAAAAAAAAAAGGTCAGGTCGCTTCAAGGGGTACCAGTAGGAACAACATGCCACCAGAGCAGAAATCTTGCCATACAGAATACTATAGTGAGTTTTAAATCAGTATAAAACTGTAGAATTACATTATTTACAAAAAGGGGAAGAGGTAAGTAAGGTATGACCTTATGGGCTTCTTTATGGGGGGCCTTGGTTGATTGTAGTAGTAGTAGTACTAATAGTAGTAGTAGAACAGTGGCAGATGCAATAGTAAAAACAGTGTAGGTGTAGCAGTTAGAGCTGAACAAAACTCCAGGCCTGTATTGGTGTTTATTTACTGTGGTACTGAACAAGCACACTCATTTTTGTTTCTTCATAATAATCTGAAAAATGAAACTGATGCAGTGGCTTGCTGCAAATGACCTCCTCCCACGGTTCTTTTTTACTTCAATTTCTTTTTAAACATATTAAACAATCAAACAATTAAGCTTGTTTTTCCACGAAGAAATCGACCCATTTAGCTGACATTTATTAGGACTGTGAGTTCAGTGTAACACATGACATAAGCTACTCAATTATTTTTAACTATGAAATGAAAAAGGGCTGTTATATTTATTGATAGCCACATACATGTCCACTTATATTAATACCAATAAGCTGGTAAGCCACATCTGACAACGTAAAGGTTTTGATATCTGACTGTTAACCTTAAAATATACTGTTGACAGCGCTTCCATTTGGTTGGTAGCTTAACCGAACAAGCAGGCCTTTAAGGTAATACACTTGGACCAATATTATGACATGCTTAAAAGATTAACTAGAACATTCTACTGCTCACTATCTGCCATGATGGTCATTCACTCGACAGCTACTGAGGTAGCTACTAACTACCTGTCTGAACATTTGTGATGCAATCAGCTAGAATATTTATCTGGAAAATAAACCTTACCACTCTGTTGGTCTTTTTAAGCTGCAGGCTACAAAAATATAAATAATAGGGATGTTCCGATCACATTTTTCTGGCCCCTTTGTAGTATTGACGCAATTTGATCAGTGCCATAAAAGTATGGAAGTTTGGTACCCAGCCCATTGTATATTAATAATTTGGGGTATAATTGTGTTTATTGTATTATTCTATTATATTTGGGGTATTCTGGGAGTTCATGCCTCACAGAGATGAACTTTTGTCCCTTCAAAGACATGAAACAAAATGAAACAAAACAAACAGAATCTCACTCTAGCTGGCAGTAGAAAGCTGGCAATCCTGAGTAATGGTAGTGGTAAAAGCAGCGGTAGTGGTGGTGATAGTGGTAGCAAAAGGACTGAGATGAGCTGGCATTTTATCTGCCTGTGATGGCCCGAAGGCAATTCTGCCCTGTGAAGAAGAAAGGTCTTGAAGAAGGGAATCATTGTAATGTTTTGCATGTTTCAATGCTCAAATTGGCAACTGAAAGATACTTTATATAGTCCATCCAAAAATGCCTCAAAAGCGGTTACAAGTTAACCATCATCTCTTGTGCTGTAGCTACTTCAGTCAGTACAGATGGCCAAATCCTCCCCCTCTCTTGCATTTCACCTCAGCTCACCCTAAAAACAATTGAGACTGACACAGACGGGAGAAAACAGGCTGCACTTGTCTTCCGTTCCCTATATCCTATGCTCTTCCTGGACAAATGTGGTTTATTCTCCTGCAAAACCATCAACCAACTTCCCCTCTCCCAAACTTATACCTCTCCTCATTACTTTGCGTGATTACGTTTCTGGCATACTGAAAAGTGCCAGCTGCAAGAAGCCAACACACTGTAAGACGGTTTGGCTCTGGGCCACAGCACATACTGTATGTGAGGGAAAAAAATAATTTCCTTCACCCCAGGAGGTGCCTGAGGCTGCATCTTCACTCAGCTCCTATCATCAGAGTTGACAAGAGCCAACAGGAAGCCTCAGAGACAGTAATGGTTTCATTCACAGTCAGCGACGGACCGGGAACGAAAAACTGCCCTCGACTTTTTGAGCCTCGAGAGGCCCACTCAACCCACGCCACACTTTATGTCAACAAGATTACTGAACAATATTTATAACAATAACTTCCAAAATAGCAAAATAGATGTAAAATAGAACAAGGGGAACTTGTTGCTCTTGGGAGGAAGCCGACTAGAAGGAGCACCTAATGGCACTGGCATCCAGGCTCTGGCTAAATCTACTGCCCACTGCAGATATCCACAACATGGAAGAGTAACTAGTATAAATGAGTGTATTAGTATTATACTAATATATATTAACATTACATAAAGAGTTAAATATGAATATATTAATAATATGTTAGTATAAGCATTAGAATTTCATATAATAGTCATCATATATCCTACCACTTATGTATAATATTAATTTCAGTTGGACAATACAGCACTTTGTTCCTTCATCATAAATCCTTAAGGATCATAAATGCTCTAGAATTGTGGTGAGTCTTTAATTTGTGAATGCTATGTACTAACTTATAATCATAAGCATTTGTGAATAGTTCAACATTTTAAAGTTTACTGCAGCACTGTCCCAACCCCTCCAGGCTGTGACTGGTCAGTTCACAAAAAGTGGCACTTTTTGCTTATCTTATCCCTATCTTCCTCTGTCTTACGGCTTCAGCTGCAAAACCCTGACTACCAGCTGAACCGGTACTGAGGATCTTGAGGAGGAGGATGTGGGCTGGTGCATAATCAAAGTGGGCTGATGCATCTCTCTCTTTCTTGTTTTTGTATAACGGGCTGCTCAAGCGGCCCACAGAGTTCACCCGGTGCTCCCAATGGCCAGTCCGACTATGTTCACGTTTATAAAACAAAGGACGATTGGGGGGATGTGGATTTCATGAGCAGGGTCTTTTAAACTTGTAATTAGAGCTAAGTCTTGATCAAGCTTTTCTACTGTTTTATTCTATATGCTGTTGCTTGATCTATTATGCATGCACTGTGCTTAAGTTACAGTATGTATCCCAACAGAAAATCCATCCTGATTTGCCTTTGTTTAGAATTAAATCAGGGCTGTTGCCTCATTAAAAAAAAAGAAGAATTCAGCAAATTTGCACCAGCAATTGCAATTTTCATCTGGCCTCAGGATTTCAATGCGTTTAGCATTGAAATCAGTCAATTTAGTGCCAACTGACAGATGCCCTCTTTGTTGTGCACCAAACTCTGCCCTCATCTGCTGAGCTGAAGTATTACAAAGGCTCTTTTTAACCCTTGTCCTCACACGCCAACTGCGTAACAATGAATTTGACTGAGGGGAAACCTCTCTAAGAGCAAACACTGTGAGAAAAGAAACTTTGGGGTACATGGAACGCTGACTTCTGAGATTTTATCATTATAAGGAATGGTTGCCTTCCACAAACCACTAAGTTTTATTCATCACTGGCAACTGCTAACTTTTCACCAGCCAGGCTGCTCACTCCAAACAAATGTCACACCGCAGGATTAGCAGCTTCCGAGCCAGTGTTGTGAAGCAGAAGCCTTTCATTCTTGCCAAAAATAAACCCAGATACTGAGTCAAGATAGCAGAGTTAAAGGGGCTATCGTCAATGTGGATTTAAAGCTGTCATTCCAGGTTTCACTGATTTCTTGGGAACACATTTCAGTACTTTATGAGGCCTCAGCAGGAACCTAGCACAAAATCCATATTTAATTCAATGATAAACCTTTTTTTTTCAGCTGATTAGTTTGGAGAATCAATCATAATCTTACAGTTGGACCCTCACTAATTTACATTCATATGATTTCATATTTAGATCTGCCGTACACTGCTCCTCTGCACTGAGCCTACATTTGCTGATTAGCAAGTGGACATATAAGTTCTATAAACAACACAAGATTTCACAGGAGAAATTCTAACAGAACTGCATACTGATAACTGAGGAAACGTCAGTCACACTTTGGCAGTAGAAGAGATTATAATGATGGTCTTTCTGAGAGTGGCACCCACTCTTTAGTCTGCTCAATAATGGTGGATTTCCCTGGATATGCTCATTACCGGCTCTCTTTTGTTCATTATTTAAACAGCTACAAGGATAAAAACATGTACTGTATATGTCAGTTGGTCTTAGGAAAGCCTAATGTCAATGTGCATGTAAATTCAAATTCATGATGTGGTTTGACCCCTTACCAAAGACTTCATCTTGTGATTCAGGTTCTGCTGCTGCTGCTGTTGCCTCCGCTTCTTTGGGTTCAGGTGACGGAGCCTTTAATAGGAACACAAAAACAGATTGAAGAGGTGAGGCGCTGAGGTGCCATGGCAACAGAGCAAAGACACAGACCAACACGCAGAGAGAGAGAATTGACAGAGAGATACTCAGACCCAGACTCGAATGCTTTAATGTACACGTTGGCTGGAAAAAAAGCTCTTTATTAATTTACTGATAATTTATAGTAAGTCTTATAGCCTCAAAACAAACAATTTAGCATTCCAAATGTAAAGAAAGCACTATTGAATTGTTATATTCATCACTTTTTATATCCTTATGTGAGTAATATCTGCAGGAAGTCTGGGGAAAGTCATGCAACAGTATTTCAGTGTTGTTTCTAAATTAGAGTAAGTATTTATCCTAAATGGGCATTTTTAGTATGTCTCAAAGGAAAGCACTGTGTCAAAATGAAGCAAGACACGATCAAAAACAAGCAAATGGTAAATTCCAACCAGATGATAGCTGCTGGCACGGTGACTAACTAGTCCCTTGTGTCAGCTGGGACAAGAGCTGTGCATCTCTCCTTCAGGGACTGATTTGACACAGATCTTGATACAAATTCTGGGATTTAATCAAAACGTTTTGCATCATGATCACAGCTGTTCGAAATTTGATGCTGGGGGGGGGGGGGGTGAACATTCCCACAGACCATTGTCTGTTAAAAACGCCTTGCTTCAGAGCTGGGGCTGAAGCACGACATCTCAACCTTTACTGCTGATGTCCCTACACCTGACTGCGGAGGGGGAGCCAATATTGAGGAAACATAAAGATAAAATGACACCATTAGGTGTTATAATTAAAACAACACACCCCTGTCTTATCAGGGTTTTCAGATATACAGACGTATTGATTCAACTGCAGCTCACTCTCAGCTCTGGTCTGATTCAGGCACTTTGAATATCTGAAGTCATAACTTACACATTATGCAAGCTGAATTGTTGCACCTGTACTGGCACTTCTGAGTCACTGGGTCAGACAAATTAATCTCCCCTGTCACAAGTCCCTGTGTCATGTTCATTTCTTTCTATAGCTATTCATAACCACAAGAGTTGGATTCCGTTTCTATTTAGTGGCTCCAAGTGTTAATCCTCAAGTTTTATAAATCCTCTTACTGATTCCCCCCTCCTCCTCCCTGATGACAATGTACACTTATATCCCTGGTTTCTGCTTGCGAGTGGGATTGCCAACATAGGGAATCAACACAGGCATTCAAAAAGGGTGGGCACCTATTAAATGAGCGTACCCAGAAGTGCCACTTTGACACGGACCTGTGAGCTGAGGGGAGGTGGACGAGTATGGTGAGCGAGCACTTACCAATGCAAATCACAGAAAAGGTCAACAAAGTGCCACGCTGTTCAAATTTCCTTTGTCCGTTCAATTACGTAAACAAATTATGGAAATTCGGTTTGATCTGAAGAGATTCTTATTTGAACAGGTTTGATGCTGGACATAATTACAGAGAAACAAATTCATATTATCAAAGAGCTTGATAACGCATCGAAAGTCAGGATTTAGCAACATTTGAATCAAAATCTGATGACATATGGCAATAAACTTTCAATAAATATATAATAAAGGGTGTTATTGATTGCCGTTAGTTTGATAAATATGGGTCTTAATCAAATTTGTACGAATTACACTTAAGAACAGTGAAGAACCAACAGAGTGGAAAAGAGTTCTTCGCTGAGTTTGAACGATAAGACGTTTATCAAGCAACTCATCCCTACTTATATCAAAGTGTGGGAGGAAAATGTAAGGGCTCTCAAGTGATGAGATGATTAATCAGATGTTCAGAGCAAGAAGGGCCACAGACATCTGTACATTAAAAATGTACATTTTTAAATAGGTTTGTTTTATTTGTATAAAATCCTTATATCATCAGTAGCAATGTGAACCCATGTGAAATCCACAGCAATCAAATACATTTAGAAGGAATCTATCAAATAAATCAAATAAATATGAATGAAATAATAGGACATTGGCTGAAATGACAGTAAAAAGAAAACCAGACTGGGGCAGGGAAGAAATTCTGCTTCTGCTATAAACATTAATGCCAGTTTTATATGTGTACTGACTGATGAATGCAAAAAGAGTGAAACAGTGGTGTAACATATCTGATTTTCAACTCAAATGCAAATCATTAAAACTTCCCAGTTTGGAATTCTACATGTTGCTTATGCCCACGTTCTGCTCCTCATAACCGATGATTCTTTGCAGATTTTGTGTTCATTTCTTTTTCTGAAATTTGATTTAAGCATGCAAGTTAGGGTCAAGTGAAGGATTTTAAGGAGATAAATACAAGCCATGACCTGTGTCATCTGAGATAATGAAAATGATGGACCAAAACGTGTCTGGCTAGTACAAAGTCCCCCAACCAATGATTTTAAAGTTTTTTTTAACAACAGGCAGACACAGCAAAAGTAAGGCAGAGGGAGAAAACAAATCCCACTGGGATTTTTGTGCATTAAAAATCTTACATTATCATTGCATTCCTACTGCCTGGAACATCAACATTGTTTTCCATCATTAATGCACTCAACACTGAATCTTTGTTAGATTCTGTCTGATTTTTGCACACCCACGCACAGACATAGCTGTCTTTTCTCTCTCTTAAGCCTTGCACTTTTTGTAAGGGTAGAAAATTAGCAATGCAAACAACAAATCCACATTCCAGCTGAGCAGCTGGTGATCGGATGTTTGTTGAACTGATAGCTTTAGATGCTGTGGCAACTCATGGGACTAAATCTGCAAGTAATGGGCTTTTGGGGCTGTTTAAAAATTAAAAAGAAAAAACAATTTGTACCTTGACATAAATGAAACTGTTAAAATACAAACAGCGTTTTGCTCTCTTTTTTTAATCTGATGATTATTTTAGGCATCCATTTAGGGAATCTTTGCCCCAGACAAGTGCACCCTGCCCAGTGCATCAGGGGCACGCCTGGGGTATAGACAGGGACAATCATGGCCAATCACGTTCACTCTCCCGGTCCTAACTCCCTGACAGTTAGAGAAACCTGTGGTGAGACTTCTTCAGAGGGAGCTTATTATTGTTGGACACGTTGAAGACCCTATGGTGATTCCATTTTCTGTGCGTAATACTGGGCAATTATATTCATTATCACAATGATCCATACAATAACTGTTAACTGCTGCTCCATCCTGAGGGACTTATTAGTGAACAAAGACGTTGTAATTTATCTATGATTTTTTCAAGTCACCGATATACCGATATAGTCGGGGGAATAACCTCAGCCCGTTGCAGGAATATGCCAGCTTGGCAGTGTGAGACTCTGTGAGTTCTGTGCTAACACAAAAACAGATCCCTGAGTAACAATTTGATCACATGTACACAGTATAGTACATCTTTAAAACAAATCCCATTAGGTTGTAGCAACACAAATTATTACAGTACTCTCCTCCACTGTATCTGTCCCTCATCATTAACACAATGGTCTGTGTGTGTGTGTGTGTGTGTGTGTGTGTGTGTGTGTGTGTGTGTGTGTGTGTGTGTGTGTGTGTGTGTGTGTGTGTGAAAAATGGAAGAGAAAAAAAAAAAATAGGTGGGCAATTTTTCCTAAGTGGACCAGAGCAGCAGCTTGATGCCATCCTTACACAGCAGCTGTCAGCGTGACTTCACACGTACTCGCTACTGGGGCCTTATTAAATATAGCTCTTGTTGAGCAGAGCTTCCATACAGTTGGTGTTGCAGACAGTGAAGCATCACCTGACCCTGGGGCATGTAAAGGAGATCAGGGTAGCAGCTTGATTAGGATCACACTCATTCAATGTTATCCTGATAGCTTCCAGCTATTCTCTGCCCTCATCTGGTGACCTTTTAGCTTGCCATATTTGTCTGTATTAGAGCACACAATGACACACATGTTTATATTCTCCTCTATCATTTCAATCTCCCCACTATTGTCCGGTTGCATCGAGAGGACAGTAAGGAAGTGACTGAGCTCCTGCCATAAACCCACTGTAAACTGTTGAAGCCGAAGTTCCTCTATTGGTGTTAGATGTATCTGTGTAAACTCCAAATGTAATAATGTGACTGAAATAACAGACAATTTCTCACTTGAATCGACCGATTGCTAATTGCAGAAACACCTGCAGTGAACAGCGATTGTCCACTCATAGCATAGCAACCGTAAGAAGGCTAGGCAGGCCTGTCAATATCTGGACCTCTCAGCATGTTATAGCAGGGTGCATCGGGCTGCAATAGGAGCGATACTCTCAATTTATAGTGTTTGAAGGGTCACGTAGCCTTTTCAAAACCAAAAAGACAAGAAAAAAAGGTCAAAGCAAGGGATCAAACTGTGCAATCATTAGCATGTCTGACATACTCATTCTTCTAAGGCCAGAGAGCTCATTATTAACTAACACGGTCTCATTAGTTTTATATATATATATATATATATATATATACACATATATACATATACAGTGGGTACGGAAAGTATTCAGACCCCTTTAAAATTTTCACTCTTTGTTTCATTGCAGCCATTTGCTAAAATCAAAAAAGTTCATTTTATTTCTCATTAATACACTCAGCACCCCATCTTGACAGAAAAAAACAGAAATGTAGAAATTTTTGCAAATTTATTAAAAAAGAAAAACTGAAATATCACATGGTCATAAGTATTCAGACCCTTTGCTGTGACACTCATATTTAACTCACATGCTGTCCATTTCTTCTGATCCTCCTTGAGATGGTCCTGCTCCTTCATTGGAGTCTAGCTGTGTTTAATTAAACTGATTGGACTTGATTAGGAAAGGCACACACCTGTCTATATAAGACCTTACAGCTCACAGTGCATGTCAGAGCAAATGAGAATCATGAGGTCGAAGGAACTGCCCAAGGAGCTCAGAGACAGAATTGTGGCAAGGCACAGATCTGGCCAAGGTTACAAAAGAATTTCTGCAGCACTCAAGGTTCCTAAGAGCACAGTGGCCTCCATAATCCTTAAATGGAAGAAGTTTGGGACGACCAGAACTCT